AGTTTAAAATTAATCTATAGAATAATGTATTTAAAAATTTTAGCTAATTGTTTATAAAAACAAAAAATGGATAAAATTAGCTAAATTAAACACATTGAAGATTGACTGAATATTTGAGTTGAGGGCAATGAGGGGAGGAGAAAGGAGGGGAGGGGAGGAGAAAGGAGGGGAGGGGAGGAGAATTGTAGCCCTCCATTCTCCTCCATTTCCCTTCTCTTTTTTCTTTTTATTTAAATAAATAAATAAATTGGAAGAAAAAAAAATCTTTTCCTTTCACCTCTAATTTTTTGGTAACTAAGTAAAAAAAATTTTCTTCTCCCTTTCCCTGCCTCTCTCACTCTATACATACTGTAATAGAGAAAATGTTCCTTTTTCGTCTGTACGCGGAATGCAATATTGGAATTGTGATCTTCAAGAGAAGAGACACTTTACTAATAAATACAACAGTTGACTGTGTAATAATTGTGCAATTTTGGAACATTACAGCTGCATTCCCTCTACCATGATGGTGCTGTCTTGAAAGAATTGCTATTTGCCAGCCATAGTGATAGCAAGTAAATAGTCTTGGCAATTATGAACTTTGTCATCTTAAACACAGTGTCACCGTAACAAATGCAATCTCTTATAAAACAATTACCATGCATTACTCGGTGAATCGGGTCTATCAAGCTAAACCTTCTTTTAACGGTAAGCATGTTTTTAAGTCAATTTATATATAATTTAAAATTAATTTCTCTTCGAAAGATTTTAAAGATGTATCTTTTATACCGATATGGTATATACAAAAAAATTAAACTTTAAATTTAATTTATAAAACAACATTTATATTCTAATATCAATTGTAATTATCGAATTTACTAATTATATTATCCATTTAACTTAACCATAATTTTGAAATATATTAGAGTTAATGAATGTTGACTTATATAATCAACATCTCTTCTATATTTTGTCAATGTAAAATTTATCTAGATAACGCACACCTCTATCAGGACTTGGCGTGAGGTATGCTCCCGGTGATTAAACCTTTGAGGTTGTCTATGGAACTAGTTAGCATTTGTAATCTTCTTTACTAATATAGGTGGAAATTATGTGGCCTGCTGAAATTGGTAGAGCCTCAGATAAAAGATGCCGTTGGCCCATTGGGCCATCCCCATAAAATAAGTTTAATAAAATACCATCACACATCCATTTATAAAAGAAAGGAAAACGCCACTGAGACCTAGGTGCGAATCTCCCTTCGCTTCCTAACAACAGCAGAAACAAAATCATCCAGCGCCTGAATCGACGATCCCTTATCATCTCCTTCTTCTTCGTCATTCGTCGCCGCCGCTATCCGCTCTGCAATCTCTGCCGCCTTCTTCCTCATTTCTCCTCCTTTCCCCTTCTCCTCCATCACCATTTTTATCACCCTTTTCACCTCCTCCCCTCCTATTTCACTCTGCAGCCCTCTCGTCAGCTCCACACTCACCCCCATTTCCTCCACCAACATCTTCGAATTGTACGTCTGCTCCGCCGCCATTGGCCACCCTATAATCGGTACTCCCTGGCTTAAGCTTTCCATCACCGAATTCCATCCGCAATGACTCACAAATGCTCCGGTGGACTTGTGCGATAAAATCTCCAATTGCGGTGCCCAGTTCTTCACCAACAAACCCTGGTTTTTTTCGGTCGTCCTTTGTTCAAATCCTTCCGGTAGCCATTCTGATCTGAATTCACCTCTGAAGTCGAAACCGAGCGGAGGCCTTATGACCCAGATGAATGGAATCCCGCTTCCTTCCAATCCTGAAGCTAACTCTTTCATATGTGATTCACTAATTGAGTTCTGTGATCCGAACGAAACGTAAAGAACAGAATTTGGTTTCTGCGAATCAAGCCACTCGAGGCATTTTTCCATGGACATCCCGGGTTTTTTGCCTGCTCGGTGTTTGTAAAACTGTCCAGCTGAAGCGGGTGATTTTTTCAGCAAAGCCGAAGGAAGCAGAGGACCGATTGGCCAAACAGGGATTTTCATGAATTTTCTGAGACATTCGAGTCCAAGAGGCTCAATCTCTTCAACGGTGTTGCACAAACACCCAAAAGACTGAAGAGAATTTGAAATCTGCGGCTGTAGAAACCTGGACCATGAATCAGTTCCGTCGGCCATCCTCACAAACCGATGTAAGTGCGAGATATGGAAACGACACCTTTCGGGGAATCCCGGTAAGGTGAATTCTTCAGACTCTGTTTTCCGATGTGGGAGATTCAGCCACAGAGACATGTAAGCCAAGGTGCCGTAGGCACCGCATGTGGTAAAAGTGACGTTCACAGTGCCCATGCTCTCTGCAACACCCACAGCCCACCCCAAGAACACGTCTGATATTATACAAAGAGGCGGCTTCCCTTCTTTCTCCACTATCTCCGATAAAAATTGACGGAACGGAGCTTCCAGTCTTTCTGAGGCGCTAAAAATATTGACGATTTGATCCAAGGTCAAATTCTCGGTGTTCTCAGCGTCGGGTAGGAGACCACGGTCGGCGTTGCCGAACGAGAGTTCGGCAAATTTGATCTCTGTACCGGCGGTGGATCTGAGGTACTGGATGTTGAGAGGGGTGCTGGCGATGGTGACGGTGAAGCCTTTCCTTCGGTGAATTTCTCTTGCCAGGGAGAGAAATGGGATGAGATGGCCGTGAGCCATCATAGGAAGCATCACTATATGCTCGTTGGAAGAAGAACCCTCCATTGACGTCGGCGGCGGATGTTGGAGAACCATTTTTTGATGTCTGTGTGGATAGAAAAAAGAATACAAATTGCTATTTGAATTCATCATCGCTGCTTGAATATTTATGGAGGATACGTCAGTGGGGTTGGGGTGGGTTTTGCATGGTGGGCAACGTGGCGGATGAAGGTTCCGCCAAGTTAAAGCTGAGTTGTCTTTTCCTTTTGGAAATGCTCGAGGGGCCGAGGGAGTTGTCATTTTTCTCTTAGAATGCTTGAATAAAATTAAAATATGATTAAATGTAAATTTTAATCCCCCTTATTAAGATTTTATATAATTTTTATCTTTTAATTTTTTATACATTTTTTAAGTCATTCAATTTTAAGTACAATTATTATAGTTGAGAAATAAAATAATATATAAAAACTAAGAGACAAACAATGTGTAAAATTTTAAAGTTGATGATCAAAATTGACATTTAACTTTAAAATAAAACATTCAAAATAAAAAAAAAAAACATTAATAACTTGGTTTAATGCTAATTTTGCTTTCTCAACTTTAGAGTTTTGCATAGTTTTTATTTCTCAATTTTTTTATACACTTTTTTTTGTCCCACAATTATGACAAACATATTTTTTTAGTCATTCTATCACTTAATTATTAAGTCTATTTAGATATACACATTTTTATTTCTTTAACTTATAAGTTTGAGAACTAAAAATGTATATATATAAATAGTCTTAACGAACTAATTGAAAAAATAATTAAAAAATGTGTATTTTTCATAATTAATAGACAAAAAAATATATTAAAAAATTAAGAAACTAAAATTGTATAAAACTCTAAAGTTGAGGGGCCAAATTTAATATGTAACCTAATAACTTTAGAAAATTATTAGGTGTGACAATTAAATTTAGACAATCTTATATGGCAAGTGTAACAATTAAATTTAGAAAATTTTATATAATAAATGTAATAACTAAAACATGAATGATGAAAATACAATACTTAAAATTCCATATTTTTTTTGGCAATAATTTTTTTCTTGCATTAAACAAATAAATATATATATTAATTTATAT